AAATGTAATTCAATATTAATTCCAACATACAGTAAGCATTATAGAAACACTTAACACTTTAAGAGAAGAAGAACACTTGTAGAACACTTACACTGTAAGAACACTTTGCATTCTTTCATCGAAAAGTATAAATTTTGACAACGTAAAACGGATTAAATAGAACTTGTTATATTTCATTGATCATATTTCGATTCAATCTACAATTGTTTGTAATTATTAATGAAATCGTGGAAGTATTTGGAACTCGGCGATACGAAATATCGCCGGTTCCGTTCCAAAGTTGGTCATGACGGATTCTTATCAAACCGGAACTATTAATAGGCAGAGCCACGGGGCAACAGGTACTCCCAGCAGGCAGAGTAGAGCGGGTGAAGTGGGCGCCGGCACCCTTATTAGGGTAGACCGCTGTAATATTTCCTTTCAGCCGAGTTTCGAACCGCACTTTAAAACGCTTGTCGTTGCTCATTTTCAACGGCTTACGCCTCGCCGATCCTTCGCCCTCCGATCCATCAAGCCGTGCACGCCGGCAAGAACCGCTCTCCGCGATGACCCAAATTCTCCCGTTTAACCATTCCAACGATGATGTTTCGCCCAATCGACCGGCGAATCGATCCGCGCGCGTTAACAATTAAAGCGGAAGGGTCGCACCGTTCCGGAATCAATGCGCACGTTGATGAATCGTACGGACGATCTTTACAAACGCGGGGGCGGTTTCGCCAAGGATGAGAGATATTGAAACGGAGAAATTAAATAAACGATGGATAAATGTATGCAGCATCTACACCGTGTTATTTAATTAACGATTATAAATGAAACGTATCGTATGATTTCAATTCCAATTAATGATTGAAGTAGGCAGCGATTCATTACTAATAACGTGCATATTTCAATGAAAAAATTGTGCAGTATTTTATATGAATATTACGAGATATGAATGGGTAACTGTTGGATAATTATATTATTATTATTATTAATATCATCATACTGAACCGCGTATATTAATAATGATCTCACTATTCAATGTGAAATCCTACCTCAGGTATAATTATCCTTCTGATAGACGATCTCCATTAACTTTATTAGGTAATTTTACTGCTGTTACTACTTGGCTGTTACTTCACAGAACGAACAACTCTATCCTCCTTTTAATTGCGTCATAAAGGCTCGTTTACTCCCGTCTTAGGCCGCTTTCATATTCTCTCCTTTGAAACATAATCCTCCGTTGTAATTCCGCACTCGACCCCCGCGTTACAGGTACTTCCCCGTCCTCTCTTTTCGCTACCTTTTTCTTTATGTCGGAAAGAAACCAAACACGTGACACGCTCGTACGCTACGTGTATGCACACAGGAGAGCGAGAAGCGGGAAGTATTTGTTCGTCGCTTTTTAACCTTTTCCTCGCTTACCCTTGTGGATGTCGAGTGCACGGCAGGCGAAGTCAGGAGAATGTAACGAACAGCTGCGCTTGACTCCCGACGCGGATATCTTTTTTCCTGAATGTAAGTCGCGGAGAGATATTCAACGACTCTCAGATAAGACTCGGATGATATTCCAGATACGTTTGACGTTTTTCATATATCGGGACCGAGTCCTGCATATTCCGGCCGCGATACCGTTTCCGTCAAGTACACTTGTGCCGAATAGTGCTGTTGAAAATCATCTAAAAATCTTCTAAGAATTCTCGACGGTCTATCTGTAATATGATAGAACCTTGCAGTTTGTTGACAAGTAATTTAGGAATCATGGTAAATGTCCTAATTTCTACTCACCTAAGCACGATTTCAACTGAACATAAAAGACTATGTACAATATGTCAATCAAAATTTATAATGAAAAGTACTTTCACATGTGGAATTTAGTATATTTTCAAATGAATCAGGGAATAAATTATTTATCATCAATTTTTCCTATAAAACAATGGAAAGGGGATGTTTATTAAAATATTCAATGAAGAAAACCTGGAATGTAAGAGAAAAGTGCATAATTTTTGCTACCAAGTTCATAAGCTGGTGAAGCGTTAAGTGAGATATTACGTCTCGGTGAGTTTCTCGTAATTCTCGTTGAACCTATATCTAATCACCGTGTTATGACGCATTTGCTCATCTCAGGATAGAGAATGCAAAGGTACCTAACTAGCTACATGTACGAATGTACATATGTGCATGTGCACGTACGTACGTACGTACACACGTACGTTGCACATAGCATATTCTCGGGTTTCCTGGCACATCGGCGTGGCGAGAAGTACGCACGTATTAAGCGAACATATACCGGGTGTCCCCCGTAATTTGCATGGGTGCCAGAGATTTGATGTCAGCTGGTAGGACGTTGATTAGTTATTAAAGACTCGCAGCCGCGCCGCGTGCGCTCCACGTAATTACTGTGAATTAGACGAGTAAATATCGCCAGACGTGCTCGGATAGACTCGCCTATATCGTCGGCCAGTCTTAAAATAATTAAATCCTCTTTGGGCCACTTTCTCAAAGAGCTCTTCCAAAGTGTGAAGCTTCAGAAAAATTTTCCCTTTCTCCGTATACACTTTCTAGTGAAGTTCAAAGTAGAAGTAATCTTCGAGTCCAAAGTTCTGAAAGTTCTGCCTTAGAATCCGACTTAAATTAAGAAAGTGTCAAAGTAACGCTTTTCTATGCCAATACTCTCTTCAACACTTATGTATTGTTGGAGGTCGCGTATCAACGACAGGTGCTCATGAAAATGAACAAGCACTTCATTGTTAGTATATAAAGTGAATAGAAATATTAACACTAGAAAGGCTGAAACTTAGTATATACCTATATTGCCCAAAAGCAGTCAAAATGACTGCATTGTGAAAGAATAATGTGTAAAGAGATTTGTCTAAAATTAATTTTTAATATTTTTTATATTATTTACAGTCATATAACAAGTTATTAGTAAATGTTAACAATAAAAAAAAAATTTACTTCACTTGGGAAAAAATAATTTATGCATTATTATTTTTACATTTGTCCAAAAGCAGTCAAAATGACTTCCTTGGGCAATCTAGTGTTAATAAGACTGCGTGCCAGTCACTTCGGCACAAGACACATAACTAACGATCGTCTGATCGACATGAGCTAATAAGAATCGGGGATATCAGTCTCATACATCCCCAGACGCTGTGCCTTAAGGGGCTAGAATAGTCACGTGACTTTCCTAAAACGCGTCAGTAAAATTTTGAAATTTTTGCTCTGTTTTATTCATAACCAGGCAAAAATAGTGCAAAATATGGGTTTATGGGAATACACACATTTCGTCCTTATATGAGAATATTTTCCGGTCGTCAGGTACCTCTTCAGAAAGAGGAAAGTCAAATCTGGTCATTATTTAATTAGAATATTCTGATATTTAGTAATATGAGCGTTATAATATGGAAGAAAAATCGTAGTTACAATGCCTGTGTTTATAAGTGATTTTTTATTCAAAAGAGGCTGTTTTCATTGAAATGATGACATTGACTGAAATTGATTGATTGAAAAGAACAGTGACAGTCTACCTTATCACATAGCTATCGGAGCCTACGACCTTAAGCACAAAATATATATAACTATTTTTTAACTCCTTTTATGTAAAGTTTGATTCACTTATTAAATTGCAATACATTTACTAAAACTTGATTGTTTCTTCCTTTTCTCGAAACGGGCATTAATTCTTGACGTGACTCTTTGAAACCATTTGCTCCGCTCTCACAGTAAGAAACGGTGCTTTAAGAAGGCTTCACGTAGTTCCATTACTCGCTGTCTGGATTATAAATCACATGAAACGAAAACAATATAGTATGTGCTGTCTGGAAGCTGCAAACCGCTCGAGAAGTTTAATACGTGCTAAGCATAGGAATCATAGCACGGATGTGGAAGAAAAATATAAGACTAGCGGTGGAACTGTGAAGA